AACTGAACATGACGTGACAACTCGTAATTATTTTTGTTGTAAAAGAACTTTGGAGCGTGGCCGCAGTGACTTGTGACAAGGTAAATGATGAGGCCATGATGTCTAAATCTGAGAAGGTTGTTTTGATCGCAGGAATGGGAGTTGTATTATGCGCTTAAAACTAACCCAACTACATCGGCTACCAAACATACCTGCCGTTTGATTTTTTCCAAAATATTATTATGATACTTAATATTATTGTGACACTTAAAAACTTCAGTGATGCAAAAGCTAGCTAGAACGTTTACCTCTGACTTAAAATCTGAATGACCCATTTCGCAGGGCGTCCAGTTTTAAAAATCTTGTTTTCGCCTACCCTTTTAATTGTTTGTTTTTAGTAATCGAATAAGTGTTTTAACGCTCTCTACTTTGTTCATGTCTCTACAGTTTTGTAGGTCATTCTTTAGGGAACATTATCATCCGGTCCGCTCTCGGCCACCCTGAATTGAGGCCCTTCCTGGACAAGATCCACACGTTTTTGTCCCTTTCGGGTCCTCATTTGGGAATGCTATACCCAACAAGTTCTCTTGTCAGCACTGGTAAGCCTGATTCAGTTTTGGTTCACGCGAGACTGCCTCACGTAGTTGCAGGAGTTTATATCGTTTTCTGTGACATTATGCATTTTTGTGCCCTTCTAGGTCTTTGTCTGTTTTTCTTTTGCTCGTACTTGCGAAAAGAGTGAAGTATATTACTCGTTGTCTTTTTGTTTTAGGCTTGTGGTTCATGCAAAAGTGGAAGAAGTCCGATTCGTTGTTACAGTTGTCATTACACGATCATGCTGACCCACGACAAACGTTTATTTATCGACTCAGTCAATCAGAAGGTAATAATTACCTGACGTAGTTGTCTTGTCCTTGTAATCGTCCCATGTCCTTTTCCCGTCGACCTTTGCCTTTCGACCTTAGCACTTTTCCCGTTTTTCTGTCGATTTTTTTTTTAATGTTTTTCTTCCCAGAGTTCTGTGCGCCTTTTCCCTGTAAGCGAGGCCAGGTATACAAACAAGTGGCAGGAATCTGACCTCAAAAGTTGCGGACATTAATGTGTCGAAAATCGTCTTCTGTAAGATGCCATGGCCGCAACAAATTGCGTTAAGAGTTGTCTCGTGTAACGTGAATTAAGGGATGGTGTTAAAAATCGGCGTTAAAAATCGTCTCGTCGCCTAAACCCCTTCAGTTTTAAACTTAAAAATTTAAAAAGTAACCAAACTGTTCAATTTTTTAAAACTCAAGGTTTCCCATCTTCTTTAGGCCTTCGGTACTTCAAAAATATTCTTCTGGTTAGCTCGGTACAAGACCATTATGTTCCATATCACTCGGCCAGGATAGAGAGTTGTCGAGGAGCCATGAGAGATAACTCGGATGTCGGTAAGTATTGGGCGGAGAATTGTTCGTTGTATTTTAGACCACCTTTGCTAATGTGGTTGTTGGTAATGCTTGATTTTGTGCAGGCGTTGCGCTACAAGGCCCCAGTGCAATGTACTTTGCATACGGCATTTTGCAGAGAGTTGTTCTAAACAGATCTTCTTACTGATACAGTGGCCATTTTGAAGAGTGGGAAATTTCATTTTCAACGCTGTTTTTTGTAACCAATCAGATCCCAAAACAAGACTTGAGGATGGCTCGGTTCCAAACGTTTTTCCGCGCTTTCTTGGGCGTGCGTTGTGATGGGTTTATGAAAACTTGCGTCTTCTCAGTAACCAATCAGATGGAGACCCAAAACCAAGCTCGTTCTGATCACGTGTTTCCCCGAGTTTGGAATTGATTACGTGTTTTTTCTTTAAAGTTGGTTTTTGGTTCATCATAATTCCCTCCGTTTTTTCAAATAATCAATTCATCTTGATAGCGGCTTGTAATGCAACCCAAATGCTTTTATTTATTTATTTGTTTATGTATTAATTTCCAGCTGTGGCCTACAGAGAGATGATAGACAATCTTCTGAAACCACTGGAAGGAAGGAAAGACATGAACCTTATCCGTTACAGTGTTTATCACAATCTTCCAAGTTCAGCGAATTCGTTTATTGGCCGAGCTGCTCACATAGCGATGCTCGATTCTGAACTTTTTATCGAGAAGTTGCTGTTAGTTTCTGCGTTAGATTACTTTAGATAGGTAAACGTTTGAATAGTGCTAGAAATGCAGTCTCGCGCAAGTAATCCTGTCCTGAGAAAATGTTATGAAGTCTTTTTTTATGACAACTAGTGATGTAAGTCTTGTGAGTCAAAGTTGTAAGACGTTCGTGTTATGCCGAAAACTTTCGGTACATTTTCGGCAACCTTTCGAAACGCGCACGAAAAGTTTACGACGGTAATCACTGAACCCGGAAGAATAATAAGAAATTCACGAAGTTGCCATCGGCAACAGCAATTGTACTTGCGCTCAACTTGTTTTACGGTACCATGGGAATTGGTGTTGCCTTGAGGAGAGGAAAAAACGAAATTGATGGCAAAATATTTAGACGAGAATGGTTAGTTAATTCTGACATTTAAGTCTTTTTGGATGCATTTAGGGTGTTTTGATGCTAGATAAGTTGAATTATGATATAGTATAGGTTCAATTTAATTTGATTAATGTGTAATCGGTAGTAATAGCTTATCTACTCGTATTAGAATTTTGTATGACTATCAGCGAGAGAATTCAGGAAAATCCTTTGTACCTTTTGTTTGAGTTCCAAGTTTCTGATTATGTGGTCTTCGGTCTTCTCCAGAGAGAGATCTATTTGAAAGTAATTATTGAAAATTGGCATTTTCTTCCCATCTATTGGACACATGAATCCAGCTTTTTTTCTCCATTAGAAATCTCTTCCTTGGTGTTTTTCCTCTCTGCACGCTCGTGCATGTTTCCCTTCCGTTATTTACTGATTTGTTTATTTGTTTTTTTTTCTTCCTCTTTCTGATGAGGTGATTTTAGCAATCAGAAAGCACTTAAAATGGGATTTGTATGGTTTAATCGGGTTAGGGTACTTTTTGAAGTGAATTTTTGTATTTTGCTCCTTATTAAACACTCTATTTCATAAAGCATACCGTGAAAGGAACTCAAATATCGTAATAATTTCGTTTTGGAACAAGTTCGATGAAAGCGTTATTTGAGAAGGCTGCTACGGCCCGTAAATAATTTTAGTTAAGACACATCATCTACAACGGAATGAAAGACTCGCTTTTTAACTCTCGGTTGCAATATTTATTAATAAATAGACAACGGACGACGCAAAATAATATAGAGTTGTCAACAAGGAATTGTAATAGATTGTATCTTTTTATTATCGATTATTTCATAAATGAATAGAACTGGTGGGTTTGCTGTAATGTGAATACCTATTACTTCATTTTGGAAAATAAAATATTCCAGGTAAATATTTCAGATTCGCTGCTCTGTGTTTTAGATGATTCCCCACTCCCTTTCATATGATAACGGGTATACAACTATATTTTGATCTATTAATTAGTTTCTGTGATATTAGAAAATGCCCAAAACATCTTACCTCACGATAACTGTCGATAGCTGGACGAGAACTCGGGAGATGATGACGTCACTCTTAATACGCGGTAGCGAATGTTGCAATTCTTCTCGGTCTATTTAGGATTAATCTTTCTTTGATCGCATTGGGATACAAGAGTTCAAATTGCTCGAATATTGCTTGGATATTGTCCCCGGATATTCCCTAGATTTAGTAAAGCCAATGGCACACGAGCAGAAAGATGTGATAGATCCAACTTTCAGTGGAGGTGGGGGCATATTCAGTTGCTTTATGCGTACATGCGAAGATTTGTTGCGAATTATCCCCCGCCTTTTATACTGAAAAAAAACGTTTTAATTTTGATAATCCTGTTGCTAAACATTGTGATTTCACGTCATCGATGAAGTCTCTTGGTAATTCATTTGCTCATTTGAGAGATTGCCGTTTTCCTTTTTGTGCAGGCCACAAACGCTTTCTAGGTTTGTTTGTTTCGTTTTTTTTTTTACGTTCACTCTTTTCATCAAAATACCTCTAGGACTTGTCTTAATCTCTCCAAATTCGTGATGCTACGCTTGCGCAAGCAGTTAAGATCTTCACGTCACGAGAATATCAAATGAAGTTTCTGGCCGTCGACACCTCGGTAGTAAATTCGTATGGCTAACTTTACACATATAGGTTTGTTTGTTTGTTTGTTTGTTTGTTTGCTTGTTTTTCCTTCTCAAGTTTCTTCTGTTTTCCCTTAGGTTTTTTTTAAATAAGCAAGTCAGTTAACAAGCAAGTAATATTTAAATACTTAGCTAAGATAAATTGAACAGTCTGGGTAGTAGCCATTAAGTCATCATGTTCTATTTCCATGCAGTGGACGTTTTTAATTCTTGCCGCTCGTTAATTAATAAGATCACCAGCAACGAAAAAGGTCAGAATAGTACAATTTGGCAGATGGCGTGACAGCTTTAGTACGTTCTTTCAACCAATGACAGCACGCTTTATATCCGAACTTTATCATAAATTTTCGAAAAACAGTATCCGTTTCAGTCCCACTCGCTAAACTTGATTTACACAGAGCAAACCGAATTTCCTCAATTATTTTATGGTAACCATTGCTGTAGTGAAGCTGTTTTACTTTTGACAAGTTTTTTCATACAAAGATTTGTATTTTGACCGCGTAGTCTGATCGTACAGGTGAAGGACTGTTGTCGATAGTGGTGAGTGACGTTTCAACCACCTTGGCGCCGGAAGTCATTACCAAAGTCGAGCAGATTCATTATTCCCAATATAATATCCATGCTTACTCCTCGAATTAGCTATTTCTACCGAAACTAATGTTCTAGTAACAATGTTTTGGTCTTTAAGATATGTAATTTTTCCGAATGCCTAAAATGTCGGAAATATATCACTAAGGTACAAAATATTCTCGCGGGGGTGGTACGGAGAAAAAAAACTGCTGAACTAGCACGTGATTCATAGAGGCCAATCAAATTAGCAGAAAAGAGGCGGTCGAACTAAGTCGTGTGTCGCATGTGGTGTGGGAAATCCATGATATAGTTTTATTACATTACAACAAAGTTTTTCGTGTGTTTTGTACTATTTTCAAGTATATATAGGGAGGAAAGCATCTGTGACAATGGGAGACCAGCGTGGCGCTGGTAACTCTCGCTCGTACAAGATCCGAGGGTATACGAGAGAGAGACATTCAGCGAAACCGTATGCTCGTCCCTATGAACGTAAGAAGGTGCGTGAGTGACACAACGTTCAGTGCTGATTTTTTAGATTTCCTCCTCTTAAAAACTGATCGTTTCTATTTATTAGGAACGTACTTTAAGTTTTATGCCCGTAGAGAGCACATACTGTTCCGTGGGAAAGTATTAAAAAGTTAAACATCGCTCTTTATGTATTGCATTGCAGGGAGTTCTAGAGACGGTGAAAGATTTCTTCTCTCCATCATGGCTTGTAGATTTATTTAAAGGAAACCAGAGATCAGAAACTATCGAAATAGAAGATGAAGACGATGAAGAAGAACACGACGAGGTTTCACAGGGAATTGACCAAACTTTCAATCCGGGTTTTAACGAGCGAGCGTCGTCTTCTCAACCCGGAGAAACTTTAACAGCCGGTAAGATAGGCAATGGGCAGTTAAAATCCTCGTTCGGGCCGGGATATTTCTCATCTATTTTACGAGAGCCTGAGCTTTCTGTCGAAACACCTTCCACCTCGAGACCTGCCAGAACGTTTGGTTTATTCACTGGGGATGATCGTGTAGGTGAACCTTCGATTAGTTCGGGAAGAACGGAGGAATGCGATAACGAACTTGAAGTTCCAAGTTCAAGTAACGAAAAAGTTGTAAGGCCGTCAAAAACGGGCGAGGTAAGTTAACCTTAAATGTTGCACTCGCTCTTTGATAAACTAAGGTAAATGACAAGTATTTTGAACGAGTTACCAATTTATCTTTCGACAGGTTTTGCATGATTTCCCGTAAACTTGCCATAAAAATTTCCATGGCAAAGCTAAGGACAAGCTTAATACAGAATTAACTAAATGAGAGTGGTTTTATAATCATTCAGTTAATTACGAGACACTTCTTTCCTCGTTGCCCTGTAGGCTTCATTAGTGAGCGTACTACTTCCGAATGATATGGTTGTTTATGCTAACACATTCTTAATTCGATTGATTGCAAACTCAATTTCGAAATGTTGCATTTAACACTTCCACCCCAATAATCATATACATGTTCTTTTTGTTGGAGTATTTACTTTTCTTACAGTGTAACCTTGCTTTGTCCAACACTCTCTGTTAATTCAATGTTTGTGTTGTGAAATTAAACAAGTAAGATGTAAAGGTATGCATGTCAGAATAGTTTTTAAACAAAACTACTGGATACCATCTCCTCTGATACATCTTACAATATGGCTATTATACAGAGATCCACTACTGGAAATGTCAGTTTTCTACAACTTTACTCAATGATTGAAATGCTGATCAATTGAGTTGATATGTCTGTGTTTAGCACAATGTAAGGATTTGCTCACTGGAAAACTGTATACTGTATCAATTAATTGAATGACGGAGAAGGTAAATTTGATTGTAGTTTAGTTTTAAACAGCAGTTGTTGTGCTCATAAAGAGAAATTTTCACGCAAGGCTAAAAAAGAAAGTTGAATCGCAGATGCTTATCATAGAGGATATTTGTGCATATTACTGAACTCAATTAAAATCAATTAATTGATTCTAGTCTGATTGAGTTATATCACCAAGCAGCTAAATTTGATTTTACTTGAAACACAGTTCCAAGAGTCTGGGGACTTATTTTTGTTAATAAGAGAAGGGTTTATTCTTGAGCTTGGCTCTGCAGGATCTCTGCAGTTTCAAAAGGAAAAAAAATAAAAATAATGATACAACGTAGGTCTAAGTGTCAAATGGAGAGAAAAAAATGTGCCTATAACTATATCCTAAAGTACTAATTTATTTTTGAAGTGAATTATTTGAGCACTTAACTGAAAGCAAGATGGAGGATATGATAGCTGTTGTATAAAACCAAATTTAAACCTAATACTGTTTTTCCTGTCTCAATGGCCTCTCTCTTCTTTTGTTTTCTCACTGATAGGACAAAACTATGTTCAAATATTTTCTTTGCCTTTAATTTCTGGGTGAAGGGCCCCCTGTAATTATAGAAGCAGGAATAAACCCTGATAAAAGCCTGCCATACAACATGGCTGTCTCAATTTCAAAGATGTCAGTTTTGAACAACTACCTACCTTACTTTGATGGGTCTGTTCATTCTATAGACTTTCAGGAGTACATAACTGCTTGTTGTAATTTTGAAACACTACCCCTTTGTTAGGTGATAAAGTAGTTAAAATTTTAACTAATGGATGTTGTCTTGGTAGTGAAAGAGTGGGATCAATATACTGAAGTTCTGTTCTAACAATGATCTTTTGACTTCAGTTCCGCTTTTAAAGTGATCAGTTTCTCTCCCTTGTTTTCAGGGTTCCAAGCCAATCATTTTTTAATAATTTGCTATTTGGCAACTTAACATTGTAAAATTGTCTCCAGAGATAAAGTTCTGACTCAAAACCCCCTAGAAAAACTACAAACGACACTTTGAGCAGCTTACATGAAGCACTAAGTTGCTGACCTTGGTGCCTGTGTTTCCATCAAGCATTATGGTGGACATTGGTTTTTGAAGGTTCATGCATCATATCAGGAATAATATGTGGGCACACCAGGAAGAGAAATTTTTACAGAAGAAAAATGATAAAGCCTGTGTGGTAAATTATGAAACTGCATTGCTCACTTAGATTTCACACCTTAAAGATGAAGATTTTAAATTGTTACAAATTATTGCTTGACTGCTGGACACAGGTTGCCAAATTGGTCGCTTACATAGCCAATTTACCTGCCAAAATCTTTTGTTTCTATGGTGACCATAATGGTTGCAGCTTAGAGTGCTGTCATTATTTTTTTAAAACAAACTTGTCAATGGAAATCTAAAGGGTTTACTTGATTTGGTTGCACAATGTTTTAAAACCTGGCTTATTGTTCCGAGGGAAATTTATTTAAATGGAGAACAACACATCTGATTGTGCCTGGTAAATTTTAAAATATCTTTCTTGGTGGCTAATCAATATTCTCTGCAGCATCAAGTCTGAAGTTCTGTTGTGAGTTCCATGAAGTCTACACACAAACCTTTTTTTTGCAGTTACCAATGCCATAAACTACAATTTTACATGATAAAACATCTTACTGCATCAAGTTACATGTTATTTCAGCCAGTTTTTATAGTTTCACCCATGTTTGATCATTACCTTTGTGCCCTTCCTAAATCCAAAACAGTGTTTTCTGCAGAGCTAAATTATATTTATTCCCACAGGAAGAAGATATCACCATTATTCATCCAGAAGCACAGGAGATGAGCAAATCAGACTCAATTAAAACATCCACGCCTGCCTTGTTTTCAACTCCTGGTCTCAAGAAAAGGCCAAACACAACAATATTTGGTGAACCTTTGCCAGAAGCTTCAACATCCCGGGGATCAAATCCTTCCAGGCCACAGTTGTTTCCTTCATTGCCTGAGTCCCGTCCACAGCCTTTCTCATTATCCAAAAACAGACCAACTTTCTCTCTGTCTGCCTTTGGTTCTCCTTTGCCAGTAAGTAGTGTTCCTTTGATGGAATGTGTATGGTAGCATTTGCTGGTGTAAGCTCAGATAGTTTAAATTGCAGCCAGAAAAACTGCTGACTTGAGAAACAATACTCTTCTTACTAGCAGAGAAATAATCCTGACAAGCGAACAACAATTCAAGAAATTGAAAAAAATGAGAAGCCTGCTAAAAGCCAGGCTTTGGTGGAATTCCAGCAACTTCATTAACTGCAGCGCTGTTGAGGGCATAAACTTTTTAACTATATTTTCTCCAAAACCCATAATATTTCTTGTTTTATTTGTGTATATTTCCATGTTTATAGCCAGTCTGTGTGCTGAATACTTCCTTGATTTATGGAAACTGGAAATGCTATTAATTTGAGAACTGTGGGTAGAAGGGGAGAGGCTTTTTGTGGTTGTTGCAGTGCCATGAAATGAGGCACTAGAAACAGAGCAGTTGCAAATTGTTTAGACTGCCTTAAATCCCATAACAAGCCATTATCTTTTTTAATGTAGCTTATTTGTGATAACAAAGACCATGTTTATATTTGACTTGAGCTTTGTTTATATGTTGATTTTTAGTATTTCTTTTGGTTAACCCTTTAACTCCCATGAGTGACCAAGACAGAATTTCTCCTTACAATATCTATACAATATCAAGCAGACAGGTGATGAGAATAGAGAAAAATATCAATTAGGGGATTATAAGTTGATCCAATACCAAATTCTCAAAACTAACATCACAAGAACTGTATGGCAGACAGTAAGGAGAATAACTAGGGAGATCTTGGGAGTAAAAGGGTTGATTGTACACTGCAATTGGATTATGGATTTTGAAGATACATGTTTTATAAGATATTTAATTATAGTCGATGTTGTGTTGTAAAGTTGGATTAGCTTTCATGGCATTGCAGGGATGAGATGCATAAAAAGCCTGTAGTGTGCTGTGTTCTTTTATTTTCTGTCTGTGAATGTTATACTTATCAGATGGCTCCTCATAGAAAACAAATACAAGGTCTTACAAGATCTGTCTTCTCCTTTCAGCCCAAGCCATCAGAAGCTGGTGGTTTTTCCTCTCCATTTTATCGTGGAAGAACATCTTTTGGGGGAGCTTCCTCTCTGCAGTCTTCAGGTTATAAAAGACAGAGGATGAATTCCCCAACTTTTGGAGAGGTATTGTGACTATATTACTCTCCAGACACTTGATGTTGCAGTTTTGTCAGCTAAATATGTAAAGGCATCTAAACACAGTCATGCTCGTAAGTCTTGTTTATATTTTAGCTGCAAACCAAAACCTTACTTTGGTGTACTTTCTGTTAGGCTCCAAAACCAGTAAGGAAAGTGATAACACCCAAGCCTGTTTCAAGTAAGTTTGATTTGTACTCAGAAGTTATCTTAACTTTTTTTGTAGAGTTAGAGGTGGAAAACATTCATGAGAACTTACATTTAATTGGTGTCCTTTTTTTTGGTCTCATTTTATAGCATCTGGAAGAAGTGGTGTGACTAGTCAGACAGCAAAGAGAATACTTGACGCTTTAGAAAATATGTCCTCACCCTTAATTGTGAGTATTTCTTGTCAATAATACTCCAGTGGTACTGCAATAACTTGATCAGAGGTCTGGCCATTTCAGGGCGTGAAATTGCATTGTATATCATCCATCCTAATGTCCACTTTGTAGCATGTTACTGATCTTTTCCCTAACTTAATTTTGGAGGGTCTATCTAGAACGCTGACAGCATAAAGAAAGATTTTGTTTGTCTTTGAAAATGGTGACCAACTTTTTTTGAATTGGCTACCACTTTGAAGAATTCAGGAGCCAAGTGGCTATCAGAAAAAAAAGTTAATTTCACGCCCTGCATTTATTGTGACTTTACCCTTAACCCTCAAGATCTGATGGGTAATTCTCCCCTCTGGCTGCTGCTCATTTCCTTGTGAATATGTTATGAGAATTTGATGTTAGAGCAAGAGAACAACTTCCACCTGATAAGTTTGAGTATTCTCATAACCTGTTTGCCAGATAATGTATGGATATTAAAGGGAGAAGTTACTTGCTAATTACCTCTTGTATTACAGGATGCCAGAAGAATACCAACACCTCCCGATTCCGCTTCAGCTTCACCCCTGTCTTTTTCAGTGAGTATGACAAAGCAAATGAGCTGTTTATTTGTGCAATATTATTTTGCAGTTGATCTGACACTTACAACAACTTTTTATTTTTATAGCCTGCGAAAAGGAGAAGAGCTCCAATTCCTTCTCGAGCTGTAGGTTCTCCACGTTCTCTGAAGGTAAGTTCAAGTTATTCCTTTTTATACTATCTTACTAAAATGCCAGACTCTAACTTCAATTTTGGTAAGTGACCACTCTGTCTGTCATCAAAACTATGGATCTACAACTAGTGCAATTGCTCATGGAGGTTCATGAGACTCAGTAAGGCTTGAGTCCTAAAAATTGATGTGAAAGAAGCAAATTGTAAAAAGATAATAGATACAGTGGAACCCCACTAACTTGAACTCAGGTAACTCAAACCCCACATTAACTTGAACAAGATCTGATTTCCCTTGACAATTTTTTTCTGTCATTTCTTATCAGCTAAGCCCTGTTAACTTTTTGTTTCCCCTTTGGAGATTGAGTTAGCAAGGTTCTACTGTAGCTCATTTTCAAATCGATATGGCCACCAAAAAAAATGAAAGCTTTCAACTCTGAAATGATATATTTATGTCCTTTCTTCTTGCAAACATTTGTCTCAAAAGCATCTCTTGAATAATTATCTTACAGGCCCATTTTCCTGGTCCTCCAGTGCAAGATCTCTCTGCACCTCAACAAGTATCAATTTCTCGCTTGAGGGCAAAAGAAACCTCAACCCCAGCAAGCACAGCAACTTCATCAGATTCACAGTGAGTACTTGTACAACAGTTAGTAATCAAGTTGAAGAGGGAGTTTCCAGTATCATGTGGCCTTGACAGTACATTTTCCTCTTGCAGATTTTCCACAGCATCAACCACTATCCCAACATTTTCCAAGGTAAGGGATGCTCATATAGTATCAGTTTTGCTTTGTTCTTGACCCCTAATTTCTCCTTACAATATCACCCTTCAATCATTAAGGCCAGGAGAATATGGGAAATAATCACCAACTAAAGCAGCTCTTGATTGTTAAACAAATTCTCCCTGTCAACAACTTGGGAAATGTATAGAGAACAGTATGGAGAATATGCTTACTGATGTTAGGGTATAAAGGATTAATGATCTAATTTTCCTTCCTTAAAACCTAACTAATAGCAAACGCTGTTAACTTGTAATAATCAGATAATTAGTAAATCATTAAGCAACAGTTTTTAATTTTCCTTGTTTTAGTTTGTATGAGAGTCACTTCCACGTCACAGTTAACAGTGCAAAGTAGTTTTATCTACTTCGTAAAGTTATTTATTTATTTAATTTATGCCTTTCAGCCATCAGTGTCCTCCTTCACTCCAACACCTTTACCAATTTCGCTATCGCCATCATCCTCCAAGGGTGGGGGCAAAGTGAAGAGCTCAAGGAGTACAAGTCATTACACGCAAAGAGATAGAGGTGACGAGGAGAGGAGTGAAAACCAAGTAATGTATTCTTTAACACCATAAACATTTTATTTGTGGTTGTAGGATTTAAATCCAGAAGCTTTTTTGTATTGTTCAGATGCACAAGGACTGGGTGTGGTATTTATTTTATGGAAGTGATGATTTTTTAAAATTTTACTTCCATCTGCAGCTTGAAAATTGTTTAAATATAGTATGGTGTCTTCTGACCTGTCTGCGTCATTGTGTTAGAATATTGATGGATACTGAGTGTATTCAATGAGCAACTGTTTCTTTCTTATAAATAGCTGATCATTGTATCCTCCTTTGTTTTGCAGGTTGTGAATCCAATACCAGAGGTTGAGAATCCTGTCCCACTGAAGTTACCTAATGGAAAATCCCTCCCATCCTTTTCTTTCAAGTCGATTCCTCAAACTGCAACAAAACCTGCAGCTACGGTACTAGTTCTTTAAGTGCTAGTTTGTGTAACTTAATTCTTAAATTTATCTGACATTTGAAGATGGTAATCGTTGCCTTCTTTTTCAGAGCACCCCAATAGCCTCTAATGCATCAACTCTGGACTTTGCTAAAAATAACTTCAAGTTCTCATCCCCTGAAGCAAAATTGCCAGTGTTTTCCAAATCATCAACAGCAGAAAATCAGAGCAGTTCTAACAAAGTGAGTAAGAATGAGACTTGTTGCTTCAGTGGCAATTAGAAAACATTTTGATGGGTAGAAATGTTGATAGTGGAGCTCACAGAGCGTAGCCCCATAATTATACAAAATAGTAGTAACCCATCAAGCTGAAAAAATTTGGATGTACGACTGTACGATCGTACAAGGTGTTACTTTTGACATGCATGCTCAACTGTACCACAGGTACACCAATGCCAGTGGTCAGTGCACTGGGCTCTGAGTCAGACAACCCAGGTTCTAGTCCTGGCCAGGACAAGTTGAGTGGGGAAAAAAAAAATTAAAGCTCCGCTTTTAGGCTTGGCTAAATCTATGTATTATTTTGATTTCATCAGCAAAGAAGAACGAGAAGGTATTGAACAAATCAAAATTTCCCAAATTTTTTTGTTTCTTTTAGATTACATTTTCCTTTAGTGAGCCTGTTCCTGTTAGTAAAAGGTAAGCTTTAAGAGTTAAAACATACAGTCATTGTTCTATCATCAATAGATTTCACAATTCTTATCACTTGCTTGCTTGATGTTGTTTCAAAATTGTAAGGAGAAATTCATTCTTGGTTGCTCATGGGAGTTAAAGGGTTAAGCTGTCACCCTCAGGGAATGGTGGAGTGATCACTTAATATTGGTTCTGTGGTGAAAAAGACAATTTTATGCTATAATTGATCATGTAGTGTACAAAAACTTGCTGAAAAATACTGCTAGCATTGATTTCTGGGGATAAACTTAGATCAAATATACTGGAAAGCTTGTTCTTAGTTTTGTTTGAGTGGTTCTTCTTTAAATGACTGTTCGATACTGGTGGGAGACAATAGAAACAGGCTGTTGGGACTCAGTAAAGGGCAACCTGGACCTCTTAACCCTTTACACTCTAACATCAGTATGCATATTCTCTCTACTGTTTTCTATACATTTCCAAAGAGGCTGAGAAGGAGAATTTGTTTAACAATTAAGAGCTGCTTTAGTTGGGGATCATCGTCTTTATTCTCGTGACTCTCATGTTTGATACAGGGGTGATATGGTAATGAGAAATTAGATGCTGGTCACTCCCGGGGGCTAATGGGTTAATAGGGGTGGAAATTTTAGTGTTTAAGGGGATGGAATTTCAGGACTTTGGCAACTGACTGTTTAATACAGGGTGATGGTTTTTTTGGGTCTTACTTAAGACAGGTTTGACTGTATCTGTGATTGGCAGGATAATGTGTTTAAAATATAATTGTCACCTTGACATGAAAGCATCAGCAGCAGCACAAGAATGACAATGCTAATAGATGTGTGGTTTACACACTTGTATATTCTATTCAAAGTGTAAATAACATTCCTAATGCTGATTGTCCTGTTGCTTTGCAGTAATACAAACAATGAAAGTAAACTTGTCAAAGACAAAACGGAAATAAATAGACTTTCAGAGGTACTATATAAGTAGATGCTGTTACTTTTGTTACTAGAATTTTATATGTAATATGGTAAAATTTAATTGAACCTAAGAAAGGTTGATGTAAACAGTTCCAACCACTTTTTTCCTCCAATTAGGTCATTTTAGCAAATTTATGACCATTTTCTGCACACCTCCACTTACCTAAGCACAATATTTCTTTTCCTCTCTATAGCCAGTAAGATTTTATCCTCTTGAAATTAGGAGGTACCTTTTGGGAGTGCTTAACGAGTATTTAAGCCTTTTGACAGCATTGCCTCAGAAGTGATTTGCTTGAATGCAACAGAGAAAGGTTACATGGCCTCAACTTTCCCAAAAGTAACTGTAACATAAGCTTGTTTATTGGGGAAACAAATTTGTTCAGACTTGTTTCTAAAATTTGAGCCATGAGAGGATGATAGGTTCTTTGGGAAATGGCTCCTGTTTACCCGTTAAGGATTTAGGTGCATTGATACTAATTGTGCACCCAAGAATTTTAGGAAGTAGAAAAATGTTTCCTGAGATTGATGTAATTTTTTTCTCTTATTTTCCACCAGGTTAAACAAACAGTGAAGCCTGTTGAACCCAATAATAATCTTCTTTGTAAATTCACACCCTTGTCTGGTTCCTGGACATGCGATACTTGTTTAGTGTCAAATAAAGCAACAGATATGAAGTGCATAGCTTGTCAAAGTTCTAAGCCATCAAATGGAGAGTCAGCTCCCAGGAAACCAGCCCCTTCCAGCAATGACTTGATGGCAAAGTTTGCCCCAAAACAAGGGTCTTGGTCCTGTGAAACACGTATGGTTGACAATGACGCAAGTAAAACAAAATATGTTGCTTGTGAGACACCGAAAACTGGTGCTAAACCACCTGTGTTATCATCAAAACCTACTATCATTATTGACAATGACTTGATGGAGAAGTTTGCTTCACCACCTGATTCTTGGGAATGTGACACTTGCATGGTTCAAAACAAATCAACAGACAACACTTGTAGTGCCTGCCAAACACCAAATCCTGGTGCTACCAAGAGTGCAACAGCAACAGCTACAACAGCACCTTTAAGTGGTATTTCATCAAGTATTAAACCAGACAGTAGTTTAGCAGCAAAATTTGCTCCTCAAGCTGGCTCTTGGACGTGTGACACTTGCATGGTTGATAATAAAAGTGAAGATTCAAGTTGTGTGGCTTGTCAAACACCGAGGCCTGGGGCTAAACCAGGAGCAAATACAGGAAGTGGATTCAATGTAGGCGGAGGGCAGACCTTTTCTTCCTCACCCTTTAAATTTGGAATGGGAAATTCAACAGCTGCAAGTTCTAGCTCAGTATCAGCATTTAAATTAGGGCCCAGTAGCTCTGTAGATTCTAAAACAAATGGACAATCTAGCCCTTCAGTTTCAATTACTTTTGGAGATAATGCAGATCAAAATCGCAAAAATGACACCAAGTCAGAAGGCACCACTCAACTACCTACATTTGTGTTCGGTTCTTCGACAATTCTGTCCAGTTTCTCAAGTGAAACAAAGACAGGTGCTCCAACTTTCACTTTTGGCGCTCCAGTTAATAATCAATCGGGCAAAGATGACAGCAGTAAGCCATCATTTAGTTTTGGAGGGAACAGTTCTGTTGACAAGGACAAAGCCACCTCCAGAGGAGAGTATACATTTGGTACTAAAAAAGTTACCCTTGATGCCTCTAACAAAGGTAATCATGATTCATGTTGTTGATTTTGATATGAAACCCAACTTGGTTGTATTTCTTGAAATCCTTAGTTTAAGAAAAAGTTTGCAATTAAGGGAAGATCTAAGATTTGCCTTTTTCTGATGTTACAGGCAGAAGCAACTACTGGAAATTAAGTACTTAAAGGCCCATTTCCAACCATGATGCAACGCGGTCGTTTGTTTGTTTGTTTGTTTGTTTGTTTGTTTGTTTGAACCACCGCTTTTGTTTAAGTGGCGCCTCTGATTGGTTAGTTATTTTTACCTCGTCACGTTGTCTTAATTTCTTCACACTTAACACTTTTATATTTCATTTTCTTACATATTACAAGATATTCCTTTCACCCGCCTCGATTAGCATTTGCTATCTGTGGGTCAAAGGAATATCTTGTAATATGTAAGAAAATGAAAAATGAAAGTGTCTCAGTTTCTCCGATGAGTTTATCAAAATAATTCTGTTTAAAACAGTTATATACGTTTTAATCCGGTATGGAGTCAAATGAATCCATTGATTTAGTAGATTCCGAGGCAGTAAACGCTTTTGGATCAGTTTTTGCTAAAGAGGAACACGAAAATCTTTGCGAGCATTCCGAGGAAAGTGAAAATGTTGATCCACCCCATTTTCATTCATATATCAATTTTTTTAGTGAAGTTTGCCATCCTTGTTAAATATGACCAAGGGTCAGTTGAAGTTTCCTGCCCGTGGAGAGGAGCTTGCGCTCGGAAGAGTGGTCGAGGTTGTTGTCCATGCAAAGCGGCAAATAAGAATTGTAACGCAAACTGCTAGTGTCGCTGACGTTCCTGCAATGAAGTGACTAAACGTCCGGCAGTCGGACACAGTCTTAAAATAATTAAACGTCCGGCAGTCCGATATTTTTCCATATTTCTCTTCGAAATCCAAAAAATATTTATACGAAAACGTTCTACCTTTGTTTACAATCCTCAAACGCTTCCAGGCAAGCCTAAAATTTCAAACTTGATGTTTCTCGCTAACCTTGTATACAGAGTACGAAGCCATCCAAGCGCTTCACACTTTGGAACTTTTCAATGACACGGCTGGACACGGTCCTCAAATAACTCCATATTTCTCTTTGAAAGATACCAAATTTTCCTTGGAAAATATTCTACCTTCATTTATAATCCTCAAGTGCTTCTAGAAAGTAAAAAAATTCGAACGTTGTCCGTTTCGCCGACCCTGTACACAGAGTACGAAGAGATCCAAGCGTGACACTTGAAAAAATTCTACCGGACAAAACTCAAAATACTGTAAGGAAACTGTAAAATGACGAACGGCGAACTAAACGTCCGCCAGTCTGATATTTTTTCATATTTCTCTTTGAAAAATACCAATTTCAACTGGGAAATATTTTATCTTTATTTAGAATCGTCAAGCGCTTCTAGAAAGTGAAAAAATCGGAATGCTGTCCTTTTCGCTGACTTTGTTCGCAGAGTACGAAGAGATCCAAGCGTGACACTTAAAAAAATTCTACCGGACAAAATTCAAAATACTGTAAGGAAACTGTAAAACTGTAAAATGACGAACGGCGAATGTATTTACTGTAAAAAAGTTGACTATATGTCCAGGATGGCTCTTGAGAATGACGATTTTAGAAGGTTTTTAGTAATCTGGGAATTTCGTGTTACAGGAAATTAGGTCGAGGCGCGCGTTGCATCAAGGGTGAAAATGGGCCTTTAATATATATTCCTACATGTATAGGCAGTGGGCTTTGGTTGTAGTGGTCCAGAGTTTGTTGAATGCATATGCTGTTTCACTGGCAGTTCTAGAGGTGTATTAGAAGTTACTGTGTAAGGGATGGTTGTGAACCTCTCGTGTGTTGGATTTTGTTAAAGGTAAATCAAGTTCTATAACAGAAGCAGCAGCCAGTGGAATTCTTAAGGTGCCAGAGGTGAAAGACCCTGATGTTTCAGTACAGTCTACTAAACAGGCAGGAGCTGGATTGTCTATTGCTGATGCTGCCAAGTCAGGCTTTCTCAAAGTACCTGCAGTTGGTGAGAATAAAGGTTAGTTTTAAGTTAATTGTTTTAATGCAGTGGATGCACTCTATCAGTTTTAAATCGTCAGACAAAAGAGGAATTTTATTTTAAGACGAGGATGTATGTAGTGCCTAAGTACCAACCGAGAACTCTGCCCTATCATGAGCCCCAGTTCCTGACACCAATCCACACTGAATAGATTATTGAATGCCGCTTCATGTTCTTTTGTTGCTACAGTTGATATTAGTGCTCCTCCAAACGTTAATCTGTTTGCATCAGGGCCTGCTACCAACACACCAAATGCTTCATCGAGGTCGTCTTCTGCAGGTTTGTGAAGAGAAAAATGTTTTGAACTGGGGAATGATACTCAAGTAAAACACAACTGTATAGTGAGAGAATTTAAAAAACTGCTGCAAGATTTACGTTTGGAACTCGTTAGACGTTAAATTCTGATAATGTTTATTTGCAAAAGATAACGGTACTCAAAATTGCAAAGCTCATGAATTATTAAATTGAGTGTAGCAAAGAAAACTTTAGCGGCTGTTTGGCTATCTGATCTTAGTGAGCTTAAATTTTATCAGTAATTTTGCTTATTTACAATTTATTTGAGGCGGAATACGTATGAAACACTCAAGAATCACATCACATCTCTAAATGTCTTGAATGTTGTCAAAAGGACAAGCACTGCTGTGCACATTAAGTCTTAATCAATTAGTTAATGTTCAGGATTTTTAAGACACAAAGTATGATTTTTATTAGATTATTTTAGACATTGTCTAGATAGCGGTAGTAATTTGAAATGATGTAAAAATTCAAAGGGTAAAAAACTTTTTTGCTCCATTTTTGTACAGTCTGGGTGAGTATTTTACCCGAGATCTCAAGCTGTTTATGATGTTTAGTTTTAATGTTGATGGATTTTGCTTTGCTCTGTCAACAGCAAATTCCAGCAGCTCGGGATTTTCCTTTACTGCACAACCTGGAGCACCATCGCCATTTAGTTTTGGGGCTGTACCACCGTCATCGTCAGCTGCCACCCCTGCTGCAGACTCCAGCTCTACAGCTTCCACCAGTAGCAAGCCCTTGGCAAATCCCTTAGCCCCAGGGGGATCCAGCTTACCAACATTTCAGTTTGGAGCAGCTTCTAGTTCTGCACCTGCCACGAAATCTGAAGCAGCTAAGACCACAGCTCTAACCCAGTCACCCTTTAGCTTTCCTGTAAATACTGCAGAACCAGTTAAAACAACGGCCTCTGCGCCGTTCGCATTCGTGCCAAATGCTGCACCTCCAGCAAATACTCTGGCAGGGTCTTTCAGTTTTGGCCCCAATCTTACGAACACGACAGGGACCCCTGTAGCAGGAGGTTTCCAGTTTGCAACGCCAAGTACTCAACCTTCAAGTGCTCTGAAGCCTGCTGCTCCATCAGTAACAACAGGATTATTCCAGTTTGGTGCTTCAAATACAACAGCAATGACAAGTTCAGCGACACAACCTGCAGCACCCTCATTTGGATTAACGTCCACATCAGTCAGTTCCAGTTCAGCCCCAGTGAAGCCATTTTCTTTTAGCAGTGGATCGACAGCGTCAAATTTTCCGTTCACTCCAACAAAACCCTCTGTACCTATCGGAGGTATTCAGCCCTCGTTCACTTTTGGGGGATCAACCCCAAAGCCGGAGGTAGCCTTCCCTGGATTTGGGACCTCACAACCAACATCAAACCAACAAACAGCAGTAAGCTTTCCATGTGATGAATGAACAGCCTCCATTTTGGCATGAAAATAGGACCGGATATTTGTTCGCGGGTATTTTCTGCTGCGGGCATCATCTGCTCGAGCTTTGCTCTCGGAAAACTGTGATCTTGGAAGAACTGATAATGTCTAAGGACAAATATCCGTGCATATTTTCGCTCCAAGTGGAGGCTGTTGTGTTTATTACCTGTAAAGTATCTTTGCAACGCGCGGATAAAATGTTTTCGAACAATTAACTGTTTGCTGCGCGTGGAATTTACTTTTCGTTGTTTTCTGGTATTACTTTATAAACAAACAAACGTGTCCCATGTTTTTTTCGTAGTGGACATAAGGTTTGAAAATTGGGGATATGTCCTCGGATATTCCTCAGTTTTAGCTGAGACATCTTCGATCACGTGATGCATTTAGACCAATCGCGTGCGAGCAAAAATACTTGATGGATCAGACGCACTCTTAGTATGTACTAAAAATTGTGGTGAAGGCGCGCCAATATTGGCTGCTCAAACTCATAATATCCTTTGCATGTCACCTTCGCAGCTCGATAAATATCCACTACCAGTCTCTTTCACTTCGGCAAATAGTTGTAAAATATCATACTTTTCGAAAGTTGTGTATATTTTTTTGCTGTGTTTTCTTCCAGCCATTCATGTTTGGTGCTGCGTCATCCAATGCTACACCTGCGTCAGAAGAAACCATGGAGGCCGATGGAAGCAGCAGCTCTAGCAATCTGTTTGGCTCAGCAGGTGTAGTATAGTTGAGACGATAGGATACTGGGGTGCCTTGCAAAAGCTAATGATCTTATTGTCATCAATGTTATACCATTCATACCTTTTTCTTCTCTGATAAACGCGTTGTTACATTATTATTTGTGACTCCGATTGGCCTATGTGATGAGGTCTAATTTATTAATATTAGTTTTATTTTCCGACCTGCTAGCCAGTACAGGAGGAACAACATTCGGTACAGCGGGCTCCAATCAAGGATTTGCCTTTGGAGCGCCAAGTGGTCCTTCCACAGGAGGGTTTAATTTTGGGGCCGCTCAGGTTGCCCCGGGACCAAACACCTTCGCGTTTGGAGCCAGTGGAGGAGGTGGTGGTCCCACATTTGGAGCCAGTGCTGGCCCATCGCTTGCTGGTAATTATTTTTAGCTAGTTTGACAATGAATATTCTTTTGGAAAAGTGAAAAAAAAAATTAATTTATGTTGTTTTTGTTTTGGTTTGCAGCTCCCATTCAAGGTGGATTCAACTTTGGCGCAGCAACGGCCAACAATAATGTAGGAGGCACTGGAGCATTCAATTTTGGAGCTCCATCAGGAGGCCCGTTGTTTACCGCCGGAATTGCAGGAGATCCCAATAATATAGCTCAAAGAAAATTCAAGAAAGCTGTCAGACGAAGCAAGCGCTGACCCCCGTCCCAGCACTGGGTTTACGAGACAAGACTGTTGTACACTTACCGAGTACAAACGTTACGGGGCTATCGTCTCTCTCTACCCGATGGTACAAGTTACGGGTACACAAACGTGACGCGAACTCACCCGAATTGTCGCGACGACGATAAAAACTGTGGACTGTTCAAACGAACACTCTGGAACGGCGACGTATTGTCGCAAGACGTTTGACGAAAACGCTAAACGGCGGCGTTTATTGGACGCCATCTTAGACGGACCAAACCAAGCGTGCCGGCTAGGATAAAAGTAGATTGGAAAGAAGAAAGAACGAGCTCAGCTCAGGGAATGAATTTTAGAATTACTATGCTACCGCGACCACTTTATGAACAAAGTTTACGATATGACTCCACAGCACAGACCAAGGACATTTGTTAAAAATCTTCGTTTGTTTCATTTTTCGTTTTTTTCTTGATATATTTATATATATAAATATATATATATATATATATATTTTGTGTCGTTGATAAATGTTTTGTGAATAACATTTTAATAATTGCCTCTTATGTTAGCGTGGCTAGGTCTGCGAGAAAAAACCGAAGTAAACTTTCTGTAGAAAGCGACTGTTACTAGCGAAGTAATGTCTCATGAAGGTGGAACGTAATTTTTATTTTGGGAGGGGGGGGGGAGTTTTTTTTTTTTTCTTTGATTGATAAAGTGACATGGGATTGTTTTCTCAGTTTGAACGCAGGGAGAAAGTTTTTCCTTTAAACAATCTCTCTTCGTAATCCACGCCTAGTTCAGCCTGGCGCTTGATCCAAATTTTCGTTTAAGTGAATAGTTCAGAGTGTAATTTATAAGTGGCTTTTTAAAAGTATTTTAAACGACTTTGCGTCAACTTTTTTTCACCAAGAGAGGATTTTTCTTCATAGGCCAAGGAAATTGGGATGGGATATCAAAAGGGGGTTACAAAGATAGAATTGAATGAGTACAAAGCGGTTTGGGCAATGAAGAGTGCTTGTAAATATTCTATACTCTATTTAAGCAATTTCTTTGTCGCGTGATCATCTAAGCTCTTGGTCGGCTTTTTTTTGTTTGGGTGGTGGTAGGGGAGGGGAGGGGAGGGTAGATATGACTTTGCTCCTCGCATTGATTTTAATCGCTATTGTTTTTGAAAACGTAAACATTTGAATATTAAACATTAAACAAATTATGTCTCCCTGATGTGCATTTATAACTCTTATAACAACGAGAATCTGGGTTGTCCACGCGAGAGAAATTAGTTTTACTTCATCCTTTATTGAATCAGAATTTAACCGTCCACTCAGGCTACAATAATTTTCCAACAATTCAACCAATCATAGTTTTAGTATACGATTAGTACATGTCTCTTTGCTAGCAACTCTACACGTTTCTCGACAGTCAACAGGTTCTTTTGGCAAGTTCACAGATCTCATCCCGTCGAACACGCATCATGTCACCCTTAAAACAAAGATGAAGAAGTTAGTGACTGAGAATGCACGGACTTGTTTATTGCTCTGTGAACTTGAGTAACCGGTTTTCCTTGGTAAGGTGGCACATCTCTATTGAAATTAAACTCTAAGCTAAGAAAATTAACAGAACAAAAAAAATTTAGTTGGCTAAAATGTGTAGACGCGTTAGCTAAAAAGAGCGGTATTATACTGATTAAACATATTAGACTTGCGAATCTGCTTCCAAATACGATAGGCCTATTTCCGGTCTCTCCGTTTGACGTATTTTATATAAAAGAATTAAAATTGCTTTCCTTAACCAGACTAGGAATTTTGATCATAATTTTAAATGCAACTGCTGTTTCTGTTTTTCTACTCGTTCACTTGACAGGGAATTAAAGTCATTTATTAATTAAAACTTACCATGGTGATAACAATAAAGTATTTTCATAAGTGAACGGTACACTTATAATTAAGTAATTACAATTATAATCATCGTATTTTCATAATTGTAATTATTGAATTTTTAAAAGATAATGCAGAGTTTAAATGAAGTTACATAACCTTGAGTGTGACAATCACCTCTGTATATTCATTTAATTACCTCCTCAGCTATTTGGATGCTTCTTGCTCCTAGGGGAAACTCACTAGACTCTTGCAAAACCTTGAGGATAAAATCATTCAGGACGTTTTTGTTTATCACAACGTTATTCTGAATTGTTAACCATCGTGTCCACTTTTAAAAAAAATTTGAAAACCCCGTCCGATATACAACTTCTCTGCAATAAACTATGACTGTCTTTTGGGGGGAATTAGGTGTGAATCTAAATACTCACACGAACTGACCGACTAGTCGTGATAGTCCCACGTAGAAACGTTAAAAAACACCTTCCTGAATCCTCGAGTGTCAGACAGTCAACATTGCAAACTCAGAAAAACCCCAGGGTGCGTCTTCTTGACATACGAATATTATTTCTTATGCTCTGAAATCATTTTTGTTTTTAAAGCTGTCATGACATTGACACTTACATGGCTATCTCTTACAACTGAACTTCAGAACTTATTTTTAACAGCACAACCGTATATACAATGGCTCTCTCGCCCTCCAGTTTACCTTACGGGACTTGGATCTTTTACCCTCATTTGCTCCTCCGAATTGGAATCGACCACCGCCAAACGAGCTCTCGCTAACACTGACCATACTTGCAAGGAGAAGAAGAGTAAAAAGAAGCGCTTGAAGTTCGGTTTTCATTCTAACAGTTACTAGAAGCAAATGAGGAAATTGTTTTTCGAGTGGTGATATGCCTTAATAGTACAAAGAATGAGGGTGAATTTTGTCTTTCTAAAGTCTGTTTATATATAATTTACAAATGAAAGCGGTACTATCATGGCATTCTCAAGTAATGCATTATACTATTAATGGTGTTTATAGAAGTACAGATAAATACCTTTCCTGAGGGCGGTCTCTCCTTTAGTATTTACACAGTTAAAGATTATATCACAGGAGGCCCTGTGCATTATGTAAAACACATCAAATGTAGAGGAAAAGAAGAAAAGCGATATAATTACAGAGGAAAATTTTAGACTAAAATAACATAAAACAATGTATAAAAGAAAACAGAACCCTTAAAAAACGTCAGGATAATCATAACGGCAGATGTTATTTTTAAAAGTTTATTGATCATCTCCAACGGTTCTTAAACTAATGTAAAGAGGAATTGACATTGTATACTAATACTCTATTCTCGAGACCATTTTGTTTTAATAATTCCCGGGTTGTGCGATTAAGGGCAATTACTTTCACTGAAAAAAAGAACCCCAAACCCAGACATTTAACTCGTAAATAAAACCAAGAAATCGTGCAAAAGAAAAAGCACAAAAATAACGATAAAAAGAAAAAAAGGCATGTATGAGCAAAACCACGACCCTGAAAAGTTATGTTTGAGATCAACTCTGTTTGCTTCAGCTGGTCTTCCATATGATGGAGGTTTAGAGCTCAAGGAAAACACGGATTTCCGGTCTTATCCGTCAACTGACAATTACAGCCCAGGAAATAACTGATTGCTAAATACATTGGGCCTGGAAAAATGGGATCAGTTTAGGAAACGGTAGTGCTGCGTCAGTGATGGATATTGCAAGATAATTTGATTTCGTCAATTGAGTTGATAATGCAAAGTTTCCAAAGTTGATGTTTCGAGTGTTAGCCCCTCGTTAGCCCCTCGTCAGCCCTTCGTTGGCCCTTCGTCATTCACTCTCGCTGATAAAGGGCTAACGAAGAGCTAACGAAGAGCTAACGAAAAGCTAAAGCGCAGAACTAACGCTCGAAAGGTCAGTTTTGGTAACTCTTTACGCTTTGCTTATTTCCATTATCAACTCATGTGATAAAACCAATTTATCTAGAGATCATTGAGATGAGCTATGAGTCATTTGGCTTCCTTTGTATCTTCCAAACAAATTCACAATCACCGTTCACTTAAGGAATAGATTTTAAGAATTATACTTCATCTGCCCGCCTATGTACTTGAAGCAACCATTTCAGTATACCAAACCATTTGGGCTAAGTCACGCTTTATCAGATAATGTAAGTAATGATGTTTATTTTTTGTTAATGATAGCCCTCAGTTGAAATATATCACAATTAAACAAAGGCGATTCCGAGGAAAGTGAAGAACACTATCCTGGAGACTGAGGCTACGATAGACTCGAGGAATTGATGCAAATCACTGGCTTTTTTTCGTTTTATCAGTTGTGCTTTTTCGGTTTTTTTGCCTGAAGTTTCTTAAAGTTTCAAGCCATTGTTATTTCAGTCAACCATGATACAGTAAAAACGCCGCTCAGGTTTTTCCTTGTTTTCTTTGTTCAATTTAAAACCCTTATCATTATAAAAAAAAACTGCTAAAAACGTTACTGATCTTGAATCCTCTCTCTTAAATCGCTGCTTGAAACTATAAAGAATAAAACGTTTAAAATAGTTTGATTTTTACTCGGCGTTAAACTAAAAGAATATTTTGAAACTTCGTGGCAACTTTCAGTGAGACTACAGTGGCTGGAAAGTCCTTATCTTTGTCGTGAATTTTCACGTTATTTCATTCAACGACACGGCTTGAAAAGAATTAATCCTGGAAAGAAATGTAAATTTTCAATTCATTGTTGAAACTTATTGGGGGATTACATCTGTTTTTCTCTCCACGCTCTGTGATTGGTCCAGATAACTAGCGCAAGACTTTAAACCAATCAGATGTAACCTAAAACCCACTGTGATTGGTTGCTCGCGTTTCCCGCGCCTCGCACTAGGGCAGCTTGCTCTTTTTTTACTTTATGTTCTCATTGGCTATAGTGTTATTTGCCTTTGCACTGATTGGCCGTTCGGGGAAATTTCGCTTTTTTTAAAGGTTTAGGGGCCAAAATAAGGCAAGAAA